TCTCTCTCTCTCTCTCTCTCTCTCTCTCTGTCTCTCTGTCTCTCTGTCTCTCTTGTCTCTCTCTCTGTCTGTCTCTCTCTCTCTCTCTCCTCTCTCTCTCTCTCTCTCTGTCTGTCCTGTCTGTCCTCTGTCTGTCTCTTGTCTCTCTGTTCTCTCTGTCTTTCGCTCTCTGTCTCGCTCTCTATCTGTCTGTCTCTCTCTCTCTCATTCTCTCTGCTCTCTCTTCTCATCTCTCTTCTCCTCTCTCTCTCTATCTCTCTCTCTCTCATCCTCTCTCTCATTCTCCTCTCTCTCTCTCGTCTGTCTCCTGTCTCCTCTCTGTCTCTCTCTCTGTCTCTCTCTCTGTCTGTCTCTCTCTCTCTCATCTTCTCTCTTCTCTTGCTCTCTCTCTCTGTCTGTCTGTCTGTCTGTCTCTCTGTCTCTCTGTCTCGCTCTCTGTCTCTCTGTCTCTCTGGTCTGCTCTCTGTCCTCTCTGTCTCTCTGTCCTCGCTCTCTATCTGTCCTGTCTGGTCTGTCTGTCTCTCTGTCTGTCTCTCTCTACTCTCTCTTCTCTCTCTCTGTCTCTCTCTCTGACTCTCTCTCCGTCTCTCTCGTTCTCCTCGTCTCTTCCTATCTCTCTCTTCTCCTCTCATTTCTCTCTCTCTCTATCGTCTCATCATCTTTCTCTTCTGCTCTCTCTCAGTCTCTCTGCTCCTGTCTTGGTCTGGTCTCTCTGTCCTCTTCTGTCTCGCTCTCTGTCTCTCTGTCTCGCTCTCTGTTCTCTCCTGTCTCTCTGTCTCGCTCTCTATCTGTCTGTCTGTCTGTCTGTCCTGTCTGTTTCTCTCTCTCTCTCTCTCCTTCATCTCTTCTCTCTCTCTGCTCTCTCGCTCTCAAGAGGTCTGTGGATGGACCTGCAGCTCTCTCATCCGTCTCCGGCTCTCATCTCTTTCTCTCTTCTCATCTCGTCTCTCTCTTCTCTCTCTTCATCTCTCTCTCTCATCTCTCTTCTCTCTCACTCTCTTTCGTATTCCCATTCTTTCTTCTACAATTTTTAAACTATTCTTTTATGCATGTCATATTTCACCCTGCCATCATCATTTTTAAACATTTCTATTCATAACAGTAAAATCAGAGGTAAAGGAGAGCAATTATTCTATCGTTAAAAAATGAAACAGAAAAAAAAAAATAAGATAAAAAAGGAAGAGAAAAAAAATGCCATGAAAGACAAGAAATAGAAAAGAACATAAATTAAAAAAGGCAGAAAAATTAAAGAGAAAAGAAAAAAAAATATAAGAACACAGAAAAAGAAAAGAATAAAAGAAACAGGAAGGAAAAGAAAAACATAAAAGAAAGAAAAAAAGAAAAAAGAAAAAAAAGAGGAAAGAGAAAAGAAAACAAAAAATATAGAAAAAGAAAAACAAGAAAAAGAAAAACACAGAACAAAGAAAAATAAGAAAAGAAAGGGAGGAATAAAAAAAGAAGAAATAAAAGAAAAAAAAGAAAAAAAAAATAAGGACAACAAGAAAAAAATAAGAGACAGAAAAAGAAAAAGGAAAAAAAATATAAGAAGAGAGAAAAAAAATAAAAAATAGAAAAAATAAAAGACATATCACACACACACACACATATGGTACTAGCCAGATTCGCAGACACACACACATTCAAAACACATACACACAGCATACACACCATGCATACACACCATACANGTCTCGGTGTTCTTTCTCTCTCGCAGGGGCTTCTGAAGGCGCTGCCTGGTGGGGGCGCCCCTGCTGCCGCCTCGCCGTCGCCCCGCGGTGCCAGGCGACGTGCCTCCGGTCCCGCGACGTGCCCGACCTCGTCCCCGCCTGCAGGAGGTCGCACGAGATCGACTTCTACGAGTGTGTGAAGGGCGGAGGTGAGGAGGGGAAGGAAGAGGGGAGGGGGGAGGGGGGAGGGAGGAGGGAAGGAGGGGGGGAGGGCGGAGGTGAGGAGGCGGAAGGGGGGAGAGATGAGGGGAAGAGAGTGGAAGGGAGGGAGTGGAAAACGGGAGAGAGAAGGGAGGTTGTGGTGGAGGGAGGGGAGGAGAGAGAGGGAGGGGGTATGGGGATGGGATGGAGGGGGAGAGGGAGGAAATGTTATGGGAGGTTGTGGTGGATGGGATGAAGGGGGAGAGGGAGGGAGGCGAAAAAGAGAGGGAAAAGAAAGGTCAGGAGGAGAAGGAGGGAAAGGGAGGGGGAGGCGCAGGAGAGTGGGAGGGGGAAGGGGAGGATTAAGGGAGAAACCGGGGTAAGGAAAGAGGGAAAAGGGGATGGGGGATGGGTGGGGTCTGTGTGGAGGAGGGGGGAGGCAGAATAGGCTGGTAGGACGGCAGGGGAAAGCAGTAGTGGGGGGGGGAGACAGAAGAATATGATGGAGGGAGGCTATGGGGATGGAGGGTATGAGGGAGGGAGGGTATAGGGGGAAGGAGGGTATGAGAGGGAGAGGGTAAGGGAGGCTATGAGGGAGGGAGGTATGAGGGAGAGGAGAGTATGGAGGATAG